ATCATGACATCTGATGATCTTACTGATCTCCTGAGGAAATACTTTACATTGCTTATAAAATGAGAGTCTAATATAGTGAAGTGTGTTTTTTACATTATTCTCACTTAACTTTAAAGGTTTTATTTATTTATTTTTTAGAGAGAGCAGAAGGGAGAGAGAAAGAGAGGGAAAGAAACATCAACATGTGAGAGAAACATCAATTGGCTGCCTCTTGCACACCCCCAACCGGGGACCTGGCCCTGCGACCCAGGCATATCTCCTGACTGGGAATCAAACCAGCGACCTTTCAGTTCGCAGGCCGTCACTCAATCCACTGAGCCACACCAGCCAGGGTTTATTCTCATTTAACTGTAAAAGCAAGATGCACATGAAAGTGAAAGACTAGAGGCCTTAAAACATGCTTTGCACTGTACTATCTTAGCGTCAGCAGGACAACAGCGTTCTCGAATGCTAGCTACTCTTCTTAAGGATGAAAGGTGCCAGCAACTTGCTGCTTATGGGATCCTAGAGAAAATGTACCTGGATAGGATCATCAGAGGAAATCAACTGCAGGAATTTGCTGCCATGCTGATGCCGCACCAAAAAGCAACTACAGCTGATGGTTCTAGCATCTTGGACAGAGCTGTTATTGAGCACAATTTGTTGTCTGCAAGCAAATTATATAATAATATTACCTTTGAAGAACCTGGAGCTCTTTTAGAGCTCCCCGCAGCTAAGGCAGAAAACAGAGCATCACAAATGATAACAGAAGGATGTATGAATGGATTTATTGATCAGATTGATGGAATAGTTCATTTTGAAACACGAGAAGCCCTGCCAACATGGGACAAACAGATCCAGTCTCTTTGTTTCCAAGTGAATAACCTTTTGGAGAAAATTAGTCAGACAGCACCAGAACGGACAGCACAAGCCACGGAAGCCCAGACGGCCCGGTGACCCACTGCAGAACTTCTGTGCACACTACGCCTTTTCCCATGCAGTGCAGATTGATTTCACTATCTCCAAAACATTTGCATATGTATTTCAATCCCTTTTATGCTGGATTCCACTTAAAGAAGACATTATTAGAGCAGGACATAGAAACATTTAAAAATATGCAGTTCCCATATGTTCAGGGTCTCTGTGTATCAGACTAACTCAGATGTTTTGAAAGCTTTTACTTTAAACAGAGTAAGTGAAATATCTGTGGCTAAAAAGTTTGGGATTTGTGATAACTTTGTAGTCACGTGAAACTTAAGTGCTTTGTGCCTCTCCAAACATGGTTGTTCTAATAAATGGAGAAATGAGCCAAATAAAAGTAGTACTTTGTTTTAAAAAAAAAAAAATGAAATAAAAGCAAGATGCACAGATACTAAATCATTACTGATCTACCAGATTATTTTTTAAATTGTTGATTAACTACATTCCCTATTGTTTCTGAAAGCTGGCATTTATTAAACTTGCAGAATTTTCACGTGTTCCTGATGTTATTTATAATTTCAGGGGTTTCACCTAAATCAGAGCAATACAGTGACTACACTCATTAGCTTTACCTGTTGCTTCCTGTTTGTAGTATCCACATCCCATTCATTCAGTCCATCAACGCTGACCAAAGAAGTGAAAAATGTGAAGAATATGCCTTTTGTAAAATGTCCAATTACTTATGATGAAGTACCAAAGGCCAATGATGATAATGTGATATGAACTCAGCAGTTATGATTAACAGAGCCCTCTGTTTCTGAAGTTCATTGTAAAAAGGACACATCCACCTTTGGTTGTCTTAAATAGTTCAATGTTATATTTCCAATCATGTACAGAACTGAAATTAGAGTATTCAGGTTATTGTAAGCATTTTGGTTTAGGGATTTAACTTACTAAAATATCATTTCAAAAAGAGCTGAAATCCATAGAGATAATAAAAAAGTTTTATTTTATATAATTGTATAGGTTGCTATCTCATGAACATATTTTTTAGAAAAGGTAATAGGGCAAAAAACAAAACAGAAACACACCAGTTATCTACAAATAACCACTCCAAAAAGGACTAGGAGGAAAATAAAATTTTGGTGCTAGACAAGGCAGTATCAAGGCAACGTCGAAGAACTAATAACAATAACAGTAATAAAAATAATATAATAATTGGTTGTTTGGGTTTTGGAATTACTAATAACCAATTTGACTAATTCCACTCCAACTAACATACAGTGACTCTTCTGGTTATTGTAAGATAAAAAAAATAACCTGTGGTTGAAGGCACTCTGGACTGCCTGTTGCAGACATTACATGGAAATCCCAGAATCTATCCAGAGTGTCTTTTGAGTGTGAAAAAGTATCATGTGTAAATTTTTAAAATTTTACATTTCCATCTTTTACCCACACTGAGAATTTTAGCGGTGCCTTCCCAGTTTGAAACCATGTCTTGTCGCTTCACCATATTCAGAATTTGTACTAATTCTGACAGAAGTTGAAATTAGCATCTACATGTTATGTTTACTCAATATAGGGCCTTCTCTCAGAGCTGATGAAAGCTGATTGTTTAAACAACCAAAATAAATCAACAGACGCAATATTTTTGAAAGAATCGATTTCCATTGCTAGAGCTACAAGGGTGTCCGTAGAAGCACCTGTCCCTCCGTAGATGTCAAGGCTGACCCCATGCTGTGGGCCTGCGTCTGGATAACAGTGGCCGTCCCAAAGAGAGAGGCCACATCACTGAGCGCAGGCAGCTATTTCTACATTCTTATTAAAACCAGTTTCCTGAGGCGTTCAACTACGCAATGTTGTTAACCTAGTGTGCTTCAAATGTACAAAAATGCAACAGAATAGATATCTTTTAAATACTATAAAGTCAGATTTTGCTCTGACTGGCTACCCAATTTGGGCAAGTTAATGAGATTCTTTTTTTTTTTTTTTACTAACAATAATCTGAAACTTAAAATTAAGTTTGGGTTTTAAAACTTTTTAAAAAATTATCGTAAATCTGTGATGCCTGTGGATTGGATAGTAATAAAGAGAGACCACAGGGTGCTCAAAGTGACCCTTGACTCTTTTGACCCACACTGACCTCATATATCTTGCCAGAATAACCTGTAATTTTAAGAAGTGCCTTGTACACTATGCAAGTATAGAAGTTAGTACATTTTTCAGTTACAAACTCAATGACTTGTTGCTGAAGTTTGGCTTCTTCTGGAATTTGAAGTTATTTTAAATACCAAATGAGAACGTTTTTATCATATAAAATATTGCTTCATCAAATGAGATTCCAAGACTCTTAAACTTCTCAGAACTTCTAAAGGCCATTATTTGATTGGGTTGGGTGAAATGTACAGATCAAAATATTCAGCTAAAAGCTTAGCTACCTAGAGAGAGAGTGAACTGGGACTCTTCGGAGAGCCAAACGTTGATGAGAAGCATGCTTAAAGTAACCAAATAGGCAGACGGATGATTCAGAAAGCGGCAATTTTGACATAAATATCTGAGAGTCACCGTGGACGACAAGTTGAATATGAATATGTACAACAGCACTGGAAACAAAAATGGCATATTAGGATGTCCCATAAAGAATGTGACATATATCTGTTGAAGGTAGATATCATGAAGGTGTTTTTTGCCAAAGCTCTGTGCAGTATAGGACAGCGTAATACCAGTGGTTAAACAACCAGACAGTTCTACCTTTTACTGTGTGGAAAGACCCTGATTTGGGACCCTGCATTTAAAAGTATGAGGTTAGTTCAGAAGGCAAGTACTAGTTACCTGGATTCAGAAAGGGGGGAGGGACCAGTTTTTGAAATATGTTAAAGGCAGCCTTTCACACGCAAGACCCAAAATTCAGCAGCAAATGTTTGGTAAACCTCCTCTTCCCTCAGTTTAAATGTGAGGAGTAAAATAAATAAAGCTTTTATTCTTTGTTTCTTTCCTGGAACAAAATATCAGGTGTCGTAGAAGACCTGAGGACTCCCCATTTGCTAGATTGCTTTAAAGGTCAGAATTTGAAAATCAAGGATTAAATGGAGATTGATTTTACGTGAGTGAGAGTGATAAACAGGCCCTTCTGCATGTTGCGCCATTGCTTCTAGCGCAAGGATGTCAACACAGATCACGTAGAAATCACACAGAATGTCATCTCTGATGGGCTGATAGTGACCTGGAGAGCTGTAATGAGGAGAACACGGGGCTTGTCCCAACTTTGCAGGAAAGACTACTGAGGCGGTGACATCTGCCAGAGGCACAGATATTTCCTATTCCCCTTTTGTTTTTTTTGAGTGACCTTAAAGATCTCAGAGACATACAAGGGTGACAGATGACCCCCACCTATGCACACTCTGCACCCACATACATGTCAGGGAGCTGTAGTGAGAATAAGAATGAGCTTTGCAGGAAATGGGAACAAGTGGCTGATTTTAGCTGGGAAAGAAATGTTTGCTCTTTCATTGAAGGTTCCTATTCCTCTGAGAAGTTCCCAACAGTGACTGGATCTGGCCAACGGGGGTCTACAAGTCACCCGACAACAGCTCAGGGCCGTGGACTCTCCCTGGGTCTTCTTGGCTGGCAGAAAGGAGCTTGTCAACCTCTCACATGGTGTATACAATAAAACACTTGCATTGTTTAACTCACCTTGAGAAAAGTTCCTGCTGGATGCAGGTGACCTATCAAAGCACTTGACTAATCAGAGGAAATTATCCAAAGCTAATTGGGTAACAATGTGACCCAGAAGGAAACCATAGATAAAACAGCTTCCTGATTTAAACCCTGAGGAATGAAGCAGAAAGGTAACAAGGACGCCACGGAGAGCGGAGAGCAGGGCCCGCCGAGTGAGTGCGTCAGCAAGATCTTGGCCGAGGGAAGGGATCCTAGGGCTCCTCCACCCTCAGCGATGGATGTCAGCCAGGCCTTTTCCTCGGACTTCTCAATAGCACATTCTTCCAAGTACAGGTGATGCCATCATTAGGGAGAGTAGGCGTTGGAAGAAACAGCGGAAGATTCTTGTGTCTATGTTGACTTGCAATTAATTAAATTTGTATCCTCTTCATCCTCTGTTGGCAGGTCCTGCAGGCTCCCTCCGGAGCTGCTTCTCTGGTAAACATTAGCACCATTCAGTTTTAGGATTCACTGTCACTGTAAAAAACAGAACAATAGTGTATTTCCAAGCGGCTCCCAAGAGCTGATCACTCCACTGTAGAGGCGAATCAAGAGAACATAAACAGTCAGGGAGCCAAAGGCATCCAGTCTACAATTTCCAAAACAAAGGCCTATTTGGATTTTATATTTGATCCCTGAGAAGAAAATCCACGAAGGCCAAGAAATAATCCCTAACTGTTGCTCTAACGTCCTTCCCTAGTGCCGACGTGGAGCGAACCAGATGGAGTTGGGGGATCCCCCCTTTAATTAAATCTAATCCCATTCTCTATGAATAAATGCCAAATTGCCTCTTTTTTTCCCTTTAAAAAAAATTTCCATGTGTTGTTTTCCCTGAAGAGTTTGTGATCCTGGCAGGTTTTCAAAAGCCCATTTTGTTCATACCCACAGGATCTGGAGATGCCTTCTTGGTGTCATTTAGAATCCAATCACCAGGCATCCTGGGGTGTGAGCAGACATAAATTATGGACGTGGTATTTGGACATGACCGTGCTGGCTGGCTAACTTGCGCCTTTGTTTCTAACTTGGCTAGCTTTGCCACAGTCTGGCTCTGAGGCTTTCTCCCAGCGGGGCCGTGCCACCACCTACGTCTCCTGAAAGGCAGGCCGTTCTACCTCTCGTCTGCATCCCTTTTTAGTTTGGTGCCCTTCCACTCGAATTCCAGCACATCTCTGTTTGAAGTGACCTCTGTCTCCAAGGAGGGGCCTGAATGACGACGATCAACATCACCTGGCATCTCCTTGGCTAAGGGGCATGTCTAGTCTGCAATGGATTCCGTTCTCCTCACTCCTCCTTCACTACTCTCCTGCTCAGTGGAACACCACGTGCTTCCTGAGAGGACTCTGAAGCACCTGGATAGGGGGAGATGGGGCGATCCGCGAGAAAGCGGGGCAGCAGCGTGTGCACGTTTGTGGGTCTGTGTTTCTGTTATGAAGATGGTGAAGGAGCTGGGATAAGGAGGGACAAACAATGGGAAAGGGGAAGACAGATGTTGACAAAAGGACAACTTCTGTAGCAAAACCTATTGAAAATGGAAACCTAATTGAACACTAAGACACATTTTTTAATCTGAAGAGTAGATGTGACAACACACTTCACTTAAGCCACTCCAGGCAACTCTTAAACTGGGCAAGGCAGTTTCATCTCTTGGAAATCGGGTGTAGCAAAATAATATTTCTCAGATCCAGAGTTCATCTCTACAGGGTATAAGGCTCTGAATTGCATGTTTTACTTTTGTAGTTTTACCTTGAAATTTCTGCTAAGGATAAGCAGAGTGTATTACAAAGCTGAATAGAAACGGGCACAATGTTTCTTTTGTCGACAACACTGATGTGTCCAGCAATTAGAAGTAATTTTTAAAATTAATTAAATAACACCAATCCATATTCGTTGTGGAAAAACAGAAAATACAAATAAGCAAAACAAGAATTCTAACAATCTTGCCCTGGCGGGTGTGGCTCCGTGGGCTGAGCCTGCCTGTGAACCAAAAGGTTGCAGGTCTGACTCCTGGTCAGGGCACAGGCCTGGGTTGTGGGCCAGGTCCCCAGCTGGGGGCAGGTGAGAGGCAACCTATTGATACTTCTCTTGCACATCAATGTTTCTCTCCTTTTCTTTCTCTCTGTCTTCCCTTCTCTCTAAAAAGTAAATAAAATATTTTTAAACATCACTTAAAAAAAGAATACTAACAGTCTCATTACAGTTAACATTTTGCTATTTACTTCTCCAAAATTTTTTCTGTAATAACAACATATATTCTTTTTGTACAAAAATGGGATCGCATTGCACATATTGTGCAATCATCTGCTTTGCTCACTCTGATTCACATATAGACATCTTTCCTGTTAATAAATACAAAATATCTTTTTTGTGGCTACAGAGAATTTCATTATCTCACTAGACCCAAAAAAACTTCTATGTCTATATTGTTAAACATTTAGGCTATTTCCAATTTTTACTTTTTATTTATTATAAAATTGCTGCATACTTCCAATTATTAACCAATTATTTATTTGCGTAAATATCTAGAAGAGGAATTGTCAGATTAAAATGTATGAAATTTTAAAGCTTGACTAGTCCTCTGTCAAATCTCCCTCTTCCCTAGAACTTTTGTTCAATTTACCTTCTCCCAACGCTTTAGGGGAATATCCATTTCCCCTTGTCCTCTCCAATACTGGATATTATTATCTTCACTTTTTTGTAAATCTAATAGGTGAAAATATTATAGTATTTACCTTTAATTTTTTTATTACTTTTTATTACTAGGATGACTAAACATTTTTTCCAAAGCTCTTTCGGTAATTTTAATTTCTTCATTTTCTGAATTGCTTACTGATATTGTTGGCTCATATTTCAATGGGACAATTATCTTTTTATTAGTTTGTGTATTAATAATAACACTTTTGTTTATAATACATATTTCTCATTTATCATTTTCCTTCTAATTTTATGTATTGTGTTTGAAGTACAGAAAACTTGAGTGTTTAATGTAATTAAGGCTATCGTTTTCTGATATTCTTCCAGATGAAATGTTTACTGGGATACTGAAGGGACAGGTTGAATTCCAAATGATAATTTTTATAGTGTTGACTCTTTCATTCAGGAACACGGTATGTCTCTAACCATTCATTTAACTCTTTTATGTCCCTCCATTAAAATCTGAACAATTCCTTTTTATGTTACCCCATGCATTTTTTGGTTACTTTTATGCCTGGGTATTTCACCTCTTGTGTTACCTTTATGGGAGCACTAATGCTAGTATCTGCTGACAGTGGTTTGATAGCCTAGTAGACAGAACAGGGGTCAGGTGGCTGGAGCTTGAATTAGGGCTCAGCCACTTCCCTGCTGTGGGACCCTGGGCAAGTTAACCTTTCTTAGCCTCAGTTTTCTGTTCTCATCTTATCTGCAAAACATGCATAATAATACCACGCACCTTATAGGGTTGTTGTAAAAGAACAAATGAGAAAACGTAGGTAAAGCACTAGGCCCCAGGCCTGACATACAGACACCATCTTATTTTGAAGATTCTATACTAGCAAATATTTGTCCATTAAACAGGGGCCTGAACACTGCTTCAAATACCCAAAGGCTTTTAAAAAACTACCTTCCAAAACAGACTCTCCATTCCTGAGCACACTGTGCTCTAAATGCCATTTAAAACACTCTACAAGCAATTTGAAGGCTTGGTGTGAGACACGGTCCACCCACCAACCAGAGCTCAGCCACTTAAAGCAGCAAAGAGCAAAGGGGCTCACACCTAGCGCTTTCTGCTACAGCTCTGTGGACCCTGCGCAGCATGACAGACTGCGCCACCCAGGGGACAGTCCCAATGTGAGGACAAGTTGCTCCAGCTCTGGGACATGGCATGATTCCTAGTGTTGCAACTCACATGCCAACTTTTACTGGTGGTTCGATGGCCCGATGCTGTTAGTAAGTCAGCCACCTGGGATCTGGCCTACTCTCTCTGAGCCTAGAGGCACTCTCTCCCTCCCCTGCTGGCTCCTTCGTGTAGTTAGGTGCATTTCCTGCCATCTTTGTGGCTATTTATCATCTCTGTGAAATTAATCAAATAAGCCCAGATGTTTTTAACTCCGACAAATTCTAGAGCTCCCTCTTAAAAATATCTTGGCAAACTGCCGCAGAATTGCAACAAACAAGTGATGCTGCTTCAAACCTCTATTGCTTGCCTTGGTATTAATTTGTAAGGTCTTCGTAACTTACTTATGATAGTGGCATTAGTGAGTAGTTTTTCTTGGAGTGTTATATAGGTATTTTAAGAATATGGGAGAGCATTCCCAGAAGCCTGCGTGGTCGCAGGCCTACACCCTGGAAAAATGAACTGATTAAAAAGCGCCATCTTATATTTGAGAAAGCCCTTAGCTGGAGTGATACCAGTGAAACGAGGACAGGTGGAACTCTAACACCTTGTTTCTTAACTGCCCCTTGATTTCAGTCAGGGTCAGATAAGCCACCTTTCCTCTCCCAAGCAGTTTCTCTTGTAACAATCCCTCCTTAAGACCACAGTTAACGTCCCTTTCTCCAAAGATGGCAATGCACTCACGCTCAACCTTTCTTGAGATAGGATGCTCTCTAACTCGGTTTTTGGAGGGTGCGGTTTTCAGTTTAGCACAAAGTGACAGAACAATTAGATCGCGCTCCCTTTCTCTACATCAGTGTAACGTCCCTTTTCCTTCCAGAAAGAGGCCTGGCCCAGGTGAAACTGAAGAGGTCACGCATCTGGCTAACGTCAGAGTCAGGCCTAGAATTAGTCCAAGGCACATAGATCATGCCCATAGTGTAGACATAATCCGGGCCACTATTCAAGCAACGCTGTGGTTTATTACTTTTAGTACATCTTCCCTCCCCCGCTCCCCCACACACCTGCATTTTAACAGTGTTGCTTGAGGTTATCATCTTGTAGAATTATAAACTGTTATTTTGTATCTCCCATAATACTTAGCTTAGATCTGAGGGAGGCCAGTTGGCACTTAATACACTTAATATTCAATACTTCTTGACTTATTAATGGCTTTTGAGGAACTAGAGAAGAGAAGAAGAAACTCACAAAGAAAATAATTGGAAGTGGCCACAGTGATTTAGTTTTGTGGAGAGGCCCAAACAGTTAACACAAAACAACTGTTTTCTTGCAATTAATGGTTCAGGGCTTGCCAATGACTACACTAGGTGATGAAGATATCACCTGCCAAATACTTTCACATATTCACCTCATGGTAGCTGGGTTTCTGGATGCTTTTTTTTTTTTTTTTTTTGCTTTCAAAATTATCCTTTAATTTATGGAATCTTTTATTTAACTAATTAAAAAAAGAAAATGAAAAATGCAGTTTTAAAAGAAACTTTTCTCTAGATAAATCTTTATCATAAACTGATTGTATAAACTTAGAAAAGTTAATTAATTAACCTCTGTGAGTTCCATGTTTACTGAGATGAATCATTTCATTTTTTGGTTTGTCTTGGCATGATGTAGACAGTGTCAGACATATATTAGGTACTCAGTAAATATATTTTGAAAAACTACATCAAAAATTGTACTTTTTCAAAAAAAAAGGCAAAGAGAAGGGAAGAAATAGGAATAAATTTTTAAAAAATACTCTATTAAATGTACCTGGATTTTCCTGAAAACATTGAAGTGATTTTTTTTAAAGATTTTATTTGTTTATTCTTGGGGGGGAGGGAAGGAGGAAGAGAGGGAGAGAAACATCAATGTGAGAGAGAGAAACATCAATCAACTGCCTCCCTCACGCACCCCAACCGGGGACTGAACCCACAACCCAAGCATGAGCCCTGACCTGGAATTTAATCAATGACACTTTCCTTTTGAGGGATGACACCTAACCCATTGAGCCACATGGTGAGGACAGCGATTCATTTCTACAATGTCATTGAGCTCAGACATGAATCAATACAATAAACAATAGAGCTATTACAAAACCAGAACAGGTATAATGTTCCTTACATTCTCTGAAAATTTCTATGTAACAGGGCATTGGGCATATAGAAAACGCTATAGAAATGTCTTATTGTTGTTATTACTGTACTTACCAAATTATAAATCCACTTGGATGGAACCTAATCGAATTTTCCCCCTAATCTTTCCCAATGCTGTTACTCAATCTAAAATCAGCGCTGTGGCCAGCAGGCAGAAAGGGAGAGAAGGTGGGCACTTGGCTAGTACTTGTCATTTCTTTTCTGTGGTTTTTTTTTTGCCTAAGTTTACAGAGACAAAAACACCAAGCTTTCAGGAAACTGTCGAACTGTAAAGGCCTCAGGAAGAAGAGAGAGGCTGGCTAGTCCACAAGCACCATAACATAAAGGACTCCGTCTTTCTTGCTTTTATCGCTCGCTGGTGACCTTTGGGGAAGGTGTCGTGAGGGTAAGAGGAGACAAAGAGGGAGCGTGCTCTTTACAGAGAATTTAAACACGAATAAAACCAACTCAGTGGGCCTGGTTTTTTTGCTATCACCATGGGCTGGCAATGCTGAACAATGTCAGTGATGAAATTCTCTTCGGTTCAAAGACAGACCTCTCCCAGCGCCCCGCCCCTTGGACGCTCTTCCACTGACGCCGTTCCCAGAACCTCTGACAGTGCCTGGCGCGCCACAGGCATGACTTACAGAGAAAAATGTTACCGTGAGAAATAAGAATATAGAGCCCCTTCTCCCATGCAACCCCTTTGCTTTTTCCTATTGGTTTTTTAAAAACATGAAAACCATAACATATAGTTCCCCTAGTACTTTGTACATCTCTGGCCCTTATTTAAATCTGAGGCAAAATTTTAGATTTCACAGCTCAAGGGAAAAAAATGTCCCTTCCCTGAGAATAGGGCTGGCCAGTTGGATATGGGGGAAAAGTTCTGCAAGGCCTGAGATGATGTTTCCTAACAAGAGACGTTGAAAGGGCTGCAGCTTCTTACATAATGTGGTGCATTCGGTGCAGGGTGGTGACCAGATCAACTCCGTTTTCCTCCAAAGACACAATAGGCTATGAATAACAGAGCTTCTGTATCAGGGTGACTTCCTAGCATCAAAAAGGGCTGAATCCTGTACATAGGTTCCAGAAGTCTTGATTAGCAGGAGGATGGGGGAACGTGTTTTACACTGAGTTCAATCCTCAGGGACTATTATATTGTTTCTGAAGCATTAGTGTCACCTGTACGCTGCTTACGTCATGGAGGAAGGGTGACTCACACGGGTCAAAGCCAAAGGGGAACTTTGGGAGTAATGGTGTGTCAAAGTAGGTTGACTGATTGTAACAAATGGACCACTCTGGTGGGGGATGTCTCTGGTGGGGGAGTCTGCACTTTCCGCTCCATTTTGCTGTGAACCTAAACTGCTCTAAAATATAGTCTTAAGAAAAAAAAAAAGCCAACTAGAGAAAGAAGGAAAACTGTTGCCAGAGTATCAAAGAATTTGTTTCATTTGCATGGTGGTTTAAGACTTACGAAGTGGTGTTTTTCTCTCTCACGATCCCGTGAAAGTAGATGAACAGGTGTGTCATTTCCATTTTTCAAGATGAGGAAGCTGAAGCTCCGAGGGTAAAGCAGCTTCCTCTGTACAAGGAACGAATGGCCACTCGGGCCAGGTCTTACAAGTAGTGTTCTGATTCTAAGTCCAGTGGCCAACGCACCCTCTGCCTGTGTCTCTTAGGACTCACAAGCTTTTGGAGAAAGGGACGAATCTTATTTCTGTCCTGGATTAGAGATTCAAAATTCTGAAAGACCTGAGATTAGGAACCCTAACAAGAGAAGGCTGAAGTCTTTACACACATTGTGGTGCGTTAAGTGTAGGATGGGGACCAAATCCAGTAAAAGTTTTAGCAGTTATCAATGTAATTAAGAGAGTAGTAGGAGAAAGAAATGTAAATGAAATCACAACAGAAAGTAAAAGTCATCCAAACTATAAAGTAATACAAACTATACTATAATCCTTTGAAAAACTCCATGCTGCTAAGAGGCCTATTCGGAAATTACCAGCATTAATGAGCCTATGCTTGTAATGGAGAGTGATTGAACGTCTCCAGGTCATTCCTAGAAGATGAAACAAGTTCCTGATTTCTCAGGATTGGCGAGATTCAAAAAGAAGCCACTGGGGAAACCAGGTGCAAAAATAATGCCCCAGCCAAGAGTAGACATGTGTCTGAGCCTTGGGCCCCAGGCCCATTGGCCCAAATGGCAATGAGTGTGTGTGTCTCCATTTAAATTCGTTAATAATAATAACCAACACATATTAAGAGTTTATTTTACACCAGGCTTTGTTCTAAGTGCTTTGGACTTCTCTTAGTTTTGACTGAATAAACACTAAATTTGTTTTGCAGTAGTGTAATGTCCTTTGATGTCACCAGCAAGTGCCCATGGTGCCAGGCCTGGGACTTGCCCCTCTGGTTCTGCAGTCTGGTGCCAGCTTCACAGAGAAGGTGTGAGGTCAAGGCCTGACAGTCACCCTGTGAATTGAAGCCAGGTCATTGCGGACCGACAGAGAAATGTACACATTCCTTTTAAAAACAATACTTCAGCATGAAGCGGCTCTCCAAATAAATTAAGGCTTTTTTTCTCCCCTCACAGGCAGAAATGAGCTAGAGCTTATAACTAAGACCAACCTCTTAATATTTCAAATATATGATTTCTAAGAAGTTTTCTCCATTGTACAATTCTCTAACGTTATGCTTCTTCAATGTCGCCAATAATTTCAAAAAAGAGACAGCCAGGTATATGAAAACCATTGACATTTCACATCTTTTGACTGCACCCACCAGAGATGCAACAATAAGGTATTTCTAGGGTTTTGGTGATGACCTGGGCCCTATCTTCACATAACAGTAGCTCATTTTTAGGTAAGATAAAAATGCAGGGAAAATATTGCTTTGTAATATCCTTTGCGATACCCCCACCCAGGAATCTTTTTCTTTTATCTCTGCTTATTAATATCTGCTACCGCATTTAACTAAGATAGAATCTTTTCTCAACCAGCAATAAATTTTAACATGCAAACACCTGGTGAGGTAACAATATCTGATATCTGCAATAAGCTACATACAGACTCTTGCCTCAAAGCAGAGGTTTGATTGTGAGGGGTTGGCATGGGGCCAGAAGTACAATGGTGACTTCTTAGTGGGGTTTAGAGGAAGAGGCAGAATAAGGATCCAAAGGACAAACATGTGACTGCTCCAGTAATCAGCCTGTCCCTGTGATATTCTCACCTCAGGGACCCCCAATGATAAGTGACTGCACTTGGGAAGCATTTAAGATGATTGGCACAGCACCTCTGGTTAACATGAAGTGGGGGAACGTGGGTGGTATGTATCCTGCTCTGAAAGTTTATTCTGTTTATTCCGACAGAAATGTAATATCTCGGTCATGGGCTCAGTCAAGTTCTCTGCTCGCTGGTCATCTCAAGTCATCTTGTCCACAGTTTAGTGTCTTCTAAATCAAAAGCTGTGCTCTGCAGAGCAAGTCCCTGGCTTGTTGAATGGTCAGTCCTATTTCCTGTGAACACTTCTCACATCCTGACTAAGCAATTCTCTATCAAAAAGACTCAAACATGGTATTTTCTATCCTCACAAAAAATGATACAATTTAAATGAGATTGTGGAGTGCTAGAAGGCATTCAAACCCTGATGCACTAAAATTTTCTATCAAGCAGAGCCACCTAGTGGTAGAATGGAGTGATTTTTAAATTTCTCTTTTTAATTTCTCTCATTTAACAATCCCACCTGAGGTTTCGTCCCTCCCTTCCCCCTCCCTCCCTCCTTCTCTCCTTCCATTCCTTCCTTCCTTCCTTCTTTCCTTCTTTCCTTCCTTCCTACCTTCCTTCCTTCCTTCCTTCTTTCCTCCCTTTTTAATATGCATTACTCATTCTTATTTACAACTACCTTCTTTGAGACTGTCACCTCCATGTATTTTCCTTACTGAACATCTACTCATCCAAGATTAACAAACCTACAGTTTGTTATAATCAGAAAGTTTTATGACTAAAACAGAAGCTGACTGAATAGTCAGTGTCTCTTTAGAAGGGCAAGAAAATGTCAATACTAAATTATTTCTAAAAATAAAGAGGAACTAATTACTTTGTACATTCCTATTTTCCATAACTCACGCTTGCTTTTCTCCACACTACACACACACACGCAGCCATGAAAAATATCACGTAAAATTTACAGGCTCCGAGAAGGTGAGTAGAAGTGCTATACTGTGGTCTCCAATGCCCTCCCCAATACACATATAACCTATAGGAGAGATTAGAAGTACCTTGGGTTGTGGTTTGATTCCTTTTCTTCTTTTAAAGTAGGTAAACATTCACTGTCGGCTAGGACAGAACAGAAGCAAACGCATGGTGAGTCCCTGAAATTCTATTTTCTGTCCACAAAACTCAGACAGGTGAACATGACATTCACCCAGTCTGCATGGCTCCATGTGCAGACACGGCCTCCCCAGGGAGTCCCAGAGGTGCACAGGTGAGTGGCGCTGAGCTCCGGACATGGAAGAGTCACGGGTAGCGCAGATATGAGCTGGTGTGCTTCTGGCCCCGCTGGAAAGGGCCCCTTCCCCCCCAGCTTGGTCATGTAGGCCCCAGCCCAGCCCCACTGAGGCTCCAAGAGCTAGAATTTGCACGATTCTGGATGGACATGGGAATGAAGTGGCTTCACCAAGGTCCTGCTGTGCCCACAGAACGATTTCAATTGAGAAACACAATCAAACAGAAGTGAGTAGAGGAGAGGGCAGCTAACCTCCTTCCAGTTGTCAGAGTTCTCCCCTCTCACATGATGGCTATTTTTAAGGGACATAAAGAACTATTGGATCTGTCACCTATGTGTCAAAATAACTCTGCTTTAGTGTCAAACAGAAATTCCAAACCCCCCCCCCCCCGCCATTTTAAGGTTTTAGTGAATGTAACAGGACCATGAGTTTGTATTATAATGATCTCAGGAACAAAACGAAGTACACCAAAATTTTAAGAGAGGTTGTCTTTGGGTAGGGGAATTCTTTTCTTTCTATTTTTTGTTTGTATTTTCCTAATTCACTGTGTTTGTATATTTTATGAACTAAAATAACAAAACAAACCTACGTGAAGGGTCATCTCAATGACCCACTCCCTTTCTCAAATGCTGCCCCGGGCCATTCTGCCCTTAGCATTGGACGATAACAAACTGTTCAGAATCGCGCATGCTAGCTGAGCAGCTCCATTCTTTTGGAAAACTCGCCCTGGCGAGTCTCTGGTACAACAATTCTGATAACAAATCTCTGGATAGAGAGACTCCATTGTAGGTTGTTGAATCTGACAGGCCCCAGGGTACATTTTTAAGATACATGTTAAAAACACAAATGATAGGACAGCACAAATAGTGATTTTATTAATTTAATCTGGTCATTAAAATAATTTATTGATTTTTAAAGAAATTTTAAAAAGAAAAAAAAAGCTGTCATTACTTTTAAGTCCAAATATTAATTAAATAAAAAGTAAGGAATATATACTACAATTACTCCCAGATATCAGTTGGAAATGAAGTTATTTGGGGATTTTTATATTACTGTCTATGTTAGTGCTACCCAATAGATTTTTCCACAGCGATGGAAATGTTTTAGATTTGCACTATATAATATAGTAGCCACTATCTACAAGTGGCTGCTGAGCACTCAGAATGTGGCAAAACTGACTGAGAAAAAAATATTTTAAGTTTTACTTTTAAAAATTTAATTTAAATGGCCACATATGGCTAGTGTCTATTGTCATGGGCAGCACCCATCTATGTCAACTATATTTGATAAAGCTTATAACCATATTAAAATTATAATTCTCTAAATATAAAATGATGCCAGATGCTAACTTTTTCCAGTGCGCTCAGATTTCCTTCCTCAAAAAAAAAGACCATGTTCTTCTTGGAAAAGGTCATAGACAAACCTGTATGCAAATAAAAACAAGCGGCAACGATGCAATAATTGAACTGAATATTTTTAAGTGGTCAGACTGAAGTGCATCATCTGCATGTGCCAGAGCTAACGGGGACTAGGCTCCTACTGTCCCACTCCAGGATATATGCGGCTTTTACAAAGCTGTCCCAGCCTTCTCTTACTACAGAGGAGAGAAAAAACAAGGTCACCACGTACCATTTCTATTCATGTTGTTCATCCATTTATCAAGCTCTTCCATTTCTATTTCCATAACAGACGGTGTGTCTTCCTCAAAAATAGGGCTAGGAAGAGAGAAAAATCTTGTTGAAAGAAAGAAAAACATGTGTGGTGTGCTGAGCTTCTGCGGGGGTGCCTAGAATGTGGACCGTGAGGCGGGTGAGCTCGATTCAGTGTCTTACACTCCAGGGGAGATTGAGCGTGGGCCCTATTGAAGTGCACCAAACTCTAATAGGAAGAAAAGCAAAAAACAACCTTCACGTATCACTGATCTAAAAATGGAGGGCGCCCAACCCAGGGCGTGGGCTGAAGGGGAACGCAGGTGACTGTTCCCCTGAAGGTACCCAGTCAAGCACACAAGGCTTCCACCACGGTGGGGTTCCTCCAGGGTGTTGCCACACTTAGCAATTTTGCCTTTCTTAATTTCACTTCCCTTTCTGTGGGGTTTTTGATCAGTGACCCCAAGTCAAGAAGCCACAGTCAACAGACAGACTACTTGCATCACCTTCCCGTTCAATTCCCACATTTTTCTGTTTAGGAGAAAGGGAGCAGTTGCTTCCAGAGATCCACTGCCCTCACTTGCCAGGGTTTAGAGACTTACAGCACCCAGTTAGGGGAAAGAAGCCCCTGGTTAATGGAGGCGGGGTGGGGGAGGAAGACCACCAGCTTCAAACAGCTGTGAAGCTGTTACGCCCTGCAGAGGAAGTGAGCAAAGCATCTTCTGAGTAAGGCTGGTGGTGGGGGTGGAGGGAGGGGGCAGGAAGAGGAGATGGGCATCGCTCTAGAACGCTCATCCGGTTGAATCTCCTATTCCCCTCCCTGCCCTCCTCCCCTCTCTTGGACCTTTCTTCCTCTCCCCTCCGTTCTCCTTCCACCAGGGGTCTTCTCCCTTAATACCAGCCCAAGTATCTTCCCTGGTGATAAAAGTTTTAATGCAAATAAATGAACTAGTGTCTTTGAAAAACACCCAGGGTCAGAATATTTAACTCCTCTGTGTTTGGAATCAGTAGCAGCAGTAGAAATAGATTCTTTTCCAGCCAGGGGACCTCTTCCTCAGCCCAGATCTTCTGGATTGAGGTTTGAGGGCAGGGACATCCTTCCAAGGGCTATAGAAACACTGGGGGCTGTCTCCAGGGGCCCAGGAAGCAAGAGGTCCCTGCAAGGAACAAAAACTCTCAAAGGGCAGATGCCCCTCTGATCTGCTCCTCTCCTCTGCATCCTTGTCCACGCTGAGCTGGACGGGAGGGACTAGGGAGACTTACACTTTCAAGTTGTCGTTTCCCAGTTCATCTGAAAGAGAGTGAAGATAACGGCCATGTCAGCTTTGTTTGTCTGTAACAACTTTTCATTTCAACAACAGCTGAAATCTGCTTTATGGAGAGAATAAAATGGCTTTAAGTAAATTGCATTTTTGAAGAAGCAATAATTAACCTCTAAGTCAAACATGTGTCGATTGCCGTGTTGAAATGAGGTCCCAACCTGCGTGAAACATTTGCTTTTAGATAAGATGATGCTCTGAGAGCACTCACTTCAGATCAGATGTTGATCTCTCTTTGTTTTCTCCACACAAAGAGAAAAACAGTGGTAAGGGGAAGGAGAAAAGGGTCTCACAAGAGGGCTTGCTTCACAGCCCGAGCTCCGAAATATCCCTGTTCAAAGCATTGCTTTTCATCTCCTTGTGACACACCAAACTGAACAGTGTGACAGTCCCTGTGTCCCTGAGCAGGATTGGGGTGCCCCGTCCAGAGCTCCCTCAGACTGTCCTTGCACCTGCTCTTTGCATGGCTGGGTCCCTTGCTTCTGTTCTCAACTGACACACTTCCCTCACGGGGCCTCCCCCAACTCCTTTGTCTGACGTGGAGCCCATCTTTCCTCTTGTTCCCTGGCTTAACACCTTGCTTGCTGCCTTCATAGCATTTGCCACAATTTGTCATTGATCGATTCCTCTGTTTAATTCTTTTTATCTGTCTCTTTCAATAGACCATCACTCCAAAAGGTCAGGGATCATGTCTCTCTTGTTTGTCATAGGTCCCTTCCATTGAGCACAGTACCTGGTAAACACACAGTATTCATTCACTGAATAAAATGATAGATCCTCATGTGGACTGTCCAGCACCTGGCTTACATTCATGGCCCGAGTTTTGGACTTAGCGTTATCATAACAGGGAAACTTCCGATGAGCCTCCTTCTCCCTGCTATTGGTTGAGGTAAGAGTCAGGTAACGGCTCGCAACATGGCTCCAATGCAGATCAGACTCCACATGAACATGTGGCAAGGATGAGAGCCCGATGTCCCCACGCAGGCTGTGCTGTGTTTGGCAAGGAGATCAATGCACCCAGAGAACAGAGGCAATGACGTCAAGCAAGTGGAGAGTGTAGGCCTGCTGCACCTCGTATGACATGCAAACCATTAAGAAGCAAACCACTTCGTAGAGATCCACCAAATAGTTTGATGATCCTAATCCTTGGCAATGAGAGGCCTCATTTTGTCCGGCCTGCAGAAAGGCAGGTCCCCGGAGAGGGGATGTAACCAGCAGGCACCTGGAGCCGAGCTCCTGGCAGCAGCCGGGAGCCGCTGTAATTTCCTGTGGGTTGGCAAGCTTGAGGGGCATCGCTAATCCAGGAAAGCTGGGCATGTCACCACGGCCTTCCTTCCCGGGGCTGCCGGTCATGTCCTCCTGCCTCTCGCCCCCTCCCCCACCGCAGGAATCTGAAGGTTCCTGCAGAGACCTGACTCCTCAAAGCTTGGGAGAAAGAGGAGTATGTACATCTTATATTTTATGTACATTTTTCATCTAAAATTGACATGCTATTTCCTTAAGGGATTTTAATATAAATAAAACCCCTGCACTAATTGAACCTTCCCTACAGGTGACCCATAAACATCCCCCCGTGTTGTCCTTCCCTCCTCCTGTCTCCTCTTTCCCTGCTTGATAACCGCCTGCTAATTTCTCAGGGAGCAAGTGTTCCCACAGCCCCCCTCTCCGGGGCATAGATTTCTCTTTATAATCCGAGCGCCTGCAGGCTTCGCAGCGAGTGCAAGCCAGCCCCACCTGCAGATGATGGAAAAGTTTAAAACCCCATTACCAAAGTGCTCCAGATGCACCAAATTGGAAGCTTGTGTAATCAGTATTCAAACAAAGCAAAAAGCCTTCTGTGGCCTCATCTCCCCTGCTCCAGGACCATTACCCCTGCCCCAGCCTCCATGGCAACAGAAAAACATCTGGGAGAGCGCACTGGAGCAGAGCATTAAACCAGGAGGGAGACCAATTACTCGCCCTCGGCAATCAGGCCCTGCCTGCTCCACTCCGCCTGGCCTATATCTCTTTATTAATAGCCACCTACTCGCTTGCAACCAGGAGGCAAATGTAGCTTTTACCCAGCCCCTCACCTACACTTGCTTCCATTTTCCCTCTCACAGCTCTTCCATTTCACATCCTTCTGTCCACTTTGTCCTCCTCTCTCAGTTCCTACATTACCCCCACTCGGCCTGACAATGCCCCCCTCCCGGCTACACTGTGCACTGGCTGGTGGGGTTGCTGGGGTGCCAGGTGGGGGCAGGAGCCCGGCCCGAGCCTGGCTTGCTTCTCTTGTTTCCATGCTGAACAGCGAGCAAGGGAGACGGTCTCTTTCTGGAGATTTCCTGAGCAGAGCCCGGTGTCACGTAGCCACAGCCTGTTGACAGTGACGGTTTACTGCCAGCTCTTTCCGCAGCTCTTGCAGGGAGACACAGCACCCCAAGACGCTTAATAACGTTAAATAATAACGTCCGCTAATTTGATGCCTGGGGGTGTAGGGAGAGTGACAGTTGAACGTCCAGTTATTACGCGGCGTTTCCCTTCCCTAGGACTTGAACCAGGCGGGCCCAGAGAAAAAACAGTTCCCGAACGGATGAAGTGTTCTTCCTGAAAATGCTGGCCAAGTCCTCCCTGCTGGCCAATTTACAGGCTTTGTCCTAGAAGACAAATGAGGAATATACCAGACTGTCTTCCTGTATGGAAAGCAACTGTATGTAGGTGTTCCCAACTCAAAGAGGGCGTCCTTGCTCTCCTCAAAACAGTCCTTGGGGAACTTTTCAAGCAAAATGCTGACTAACAATGACAGTATTATTCCTGTGGGAATAATGTATTTAAATGAGACTGTTAATTTAAATAGTCTCCTTTTATTGACTTGCTTATAATGTTAAATAGGAATGGGGGGAGTTCAGTGGACAGGGGTCATTAGCCCCTTAGCATTCACTTTGTCTGAAGAGATTTGAAAGTGTTTAGCAGTTAACCACCTATAGCTATACTATAGAAGTAGATAGTAAAAGAAAATATTCAAATACAGCTCTCTTGATCAAAAACTTTTGTGATAAGCAACTGCTTTGAAATTCTAAGTTCTTACGTTGTATTTTCTTATAGTGAGGCATATTTAAACTAAAAAGAATGTGCCTGTTTGTAGGAAGGATATGTGAAAATGTGTTTTTAATCTCTGAGAATAGGTGTTCTTAAAAATAAGTTCTAACACTTTCATTTATTCGGCAAACACTTATTGAGCAGCTAATCTATGTGTTGGGCTAGGAACTATGTTAGGTAAAAGAGATAATAAAAAGAAGTTAATGCAATATTCCAGGTATTGGTTTTTTTCTAAGCGATCTCCATAGATGAATTCATTTAATTCTCACAACAACTCCGTGAGGCAGGTTTAGAATTTTTTCATATTACAGGTGGGGAAGCTGACAGCGCATAGAACTAGGAGATACAAAAGCCAAGTAGGCAGCGTGGTTCCGGAGTCTGAACGCTCAACCCCCGTGCCCCACTGCTAAACAAGACAAATAACACAAGGTCTTGCTTCTCTTGGATCTTAAAGAGAACATAACCTAGTAAGAAGGATAGACCAAAAAAGAGGCATGTCACCAACTTCTGCCCATGTAAATAAATACTGTACACAGTAAGTGTGACCATAGCCTATGAGAGCCAAAGAGGCGGTGATTAATTTTGAGTGAAGGGTGATGCTCAAGGCTTCATAAAACCTTTAGCACTGGGTGCTGCAGAACAGGGCCGCAGCTTGCCAAGTGGGGAAGAAGACAATCCCAGGCAGAAGCTGCAGCGCCAACCAGGTGCGGAGGCACCGTGAAAGTTCACACTGGGCTTGGTGAACAGCAAATGCTTCCAGTGTGGCCGGAGTGTAGGGTACATGCAGGAGGCACGTCTGAGGACGGGCTGGTCCTCACTTAGGATGGCTTCTGAACTTTGAGATTCTCACCATGAAGTTCAATGAAAAATCCCTTTCTAGATTTAGAGCCTAAGAGCATGTGCGACTGGATATCCACAAGTTCTCCCCAACCCCATGACCCCACACGTCAAACCAGCTGTGGGGTGATCTATGGTTTAGGCAGGAAATTCTCACTTTCCCTACTTCAGAAAAATAGGGTCCCGGCAGCTCTGTTTGTAACGGGGCACAGCCAGGGCCCCCCCCAAAGTATTTGTAACGGGGTCCAGAGATTGGGGTGTCCAAGAAAAATATATTCCCCACTCCAGGGTGGGCCGCTATGGGGGAAGGGAGCCTTGAGCAGGGCCGTTGAGAAGTCAGATTGCATACCAATAACAGGATAGCTTCGTTCCTCCTTTGCAAAGAGGATTATTTGGCATATCACCAAAGCTAATCAGGAAGGTTTAAAAAACTTAATACATTTTGTGAGAGAGAGAAAGAAAGAGGAGAGACAGGGGCCTGCAGGAGAGACAAAGGGACACAGACTCTGGGGAACAGTGTGAAGACCCCGTAGGAAGAAAGAGGGGAGAAAGGACTCTTGCTAGTGGGCCAGGAGAAGGTGCCACATGGTTATGGATTAAGAGCTGGAGATCGCGGCGATGCGGTGGATGGTGCTGAGACCTGCGAGAGGCCTGCCTAGCCGAGCCCCAGACTTCTGTTCTTTCTTCTGAAGGACGGTACCCTGACTGGCCTGACTGGCCTAACTGGGCAAAGGGGGGAAGGCCATGTGTGCTGGTGACTGTTTTGAAGGGATTTTGAGGTTTAAGGTGACATTTAGCCATTAATCAAACCTGTATAACTTTTGAATAAATAGTTCCTTTTCCTTTTCACCAAACTCTGCCATTCAGAGCCATAATTCCAAGGACGGCGGGCAAAGGACCCACAACCGAGGGACCCCGGGGAAGGAGGGTGTCGTTGTTTCAGTAATAGCATCTGGGCATCCCCCACCCCCCACGGGTCCTTTTGTTCGGTAACATGTTTGCTTTTTGTTTTTCTTACACTTACAAAGGAGTTCCCACATGAGCACTGTTATTAAGTCACCCTGAAATTTCAGGCAGTGAACTAAAATGTATTTCCTGCTTCCTTGGAATTTATTATATCAGCCACTGGTGTAAAAGGGAAGGCGTTTCAGTGCTTCTTCCCAGCTCACATTTGCTGTACCTGAGCGCAGAATGGAGAATGACCATTTATAGTTCCTGCTGAGAACTCTTCCAGTGCAAGGACAACTAGCAAGGCCTGAAGCCCAGAGCGTGACCTCAAGGCCAGAGGTGCTGTGTAAATGGGTGGAGGAACTGAATACTCTGACTAAATCTCTGATCTAGGGAGTTTTCTATGAGATTTGTTTTTTAATGAGATTAATGATAGTAATCTTTAGTCAGTTAAGACTTTGCTTATAAGAACACTATTTTACCCGCCATTTCAAGATCACATTGGGATGTGTCATGGGGGGAGACAGAGGGGAAATAGTATCTGCGACAGAAATAGAGGTGGAAGAATCCTCTTCTTGTGGAATGACCCCAAGGTCTCCGCCTTCCCACCCCTGACCCCAGCGTGCCCTGATCCCTCTGACCGACTGCTTCACCAGCCCTACCTTTTCCTCCCGCGGCAGGGATGTGTTTTATTGGCCTATTGGTCAAGATTATATGGGCCCCTCATCAGGATTAGTACAGAGCTGGCAGCTGTGTATATTAAATTTCAATTTAGGCTGAAAATATTCTCTTTTTTAAAAACAAAGAAATATGGCATTTTTAAACTCTGGAAAATTTCATTGAAATATGTCATTCATAACTTACTATTTTACACAGTCCTTGTTGCTTAACTTAAAACCCCTCAATTCCTTCTCCTACCCCATCCCCAACCCAGGAAAGTGTTAGAATAATACTCACATGTCTGGAAAACACTCTGAGATCCTTGGATAGAAGCTTCTGTGTAGAAGAAAAAAAGGATTTTGTTTTATTGATTGTTCATTGACACATGAAACAATTGTCTGGAATTGGGAACATGCAAAATAATTACCTTGTTTAGTTTTTTTTCTTTTATAGTTTATTATAATGAATACCACTGATAAGAGTAGGAGTACCAATAAAACCAATGGGATCGACACCATTAATATAAACTCTAACTGTTGATCTTCCTCATCAATGAGGGTAGAATTCATACTTTCAGTTAATGTTTCTGTGGTCACTGTTGTAACAGCTGTACTTATAATAGTGTCTTTATCTGTAGTTTCCACTTCATCAGATATATCTGTTGGCTCATCCGTGGACTCTTCTGCTGCGTCAGAATGCACTGTGGGGAACACATACAAAATTGAGGTTGCCATGGAGACAAAGCTAGTACGTTATGTTTTCAATGATTTTTAAATTTATTCAACATGCAGCCAGTGATACACTTGATTCACTGTATTGGGTCTTCCAGTTCAGTGTGATTCAGAGTATTGATTTAACATAAATGGAGCTCAAGCTGGGAGTATATTGAACATGGACTCAAAGTCCAAAGATAAACCTCCCACAAAGGCAGACAGTTTGGCCTTGACCAATACTTTAGACCCGTTTAAGCAAAGGCATTGAGAAGCTTTGCCGTCATGGGTGATATTCCAAGACATCTCCTATAGCGTATCATGGTTTAATAACATTTCTGAATAAACCTATATCTACATGTACTGAAAAGTAAGTACTTGCCACATAACACTTTTGGGTATAAAGGAATACACTATGCCCTAATTTTTAATAAAAAGTTACCCTATCAGTGGAAAAGAATTTTTTGAAACTGGGGTGACTGCTTAGATTTCAGGGTCAGGTCTCATGTTCTGCAGAGAGCCGGTCTGCCTCTGAGATTATCTGGCAGAAATCCTCCTGGATTCTAAATAAAAATACAATGTGTATTTAATTTTTAAAGTGACATTCTCAAGGGGAATTTAGAGACTGTACCAATATTTACATTTACTCAGTAAGATGCATCTTTAGAACTTTCCCTATTTAAGAGATATAAGCAAGTTAATTCTGTTTGAAGTTCAGATTGTGTTGGAAAACCATCACAGGACAGAAAAGGACTATGATTTGAAAAATCTTTCCCCACCTGGCTAAGGTAGGCTAAAGGTTTCCATCCTAGCACAGTATAGTGATGCCTATCATTCAGATGGGGACCGCTGAGGAAAACAGAATGTACATTTAGGCTATAGAAAACTTCTCAAATGAGATAATTTATGTGAAAGCTCTTTGTAAGGTGAAAGGTGCTATGAAAATGGAAAAGATGGCTCTTTTAAACTATGCCCTGTTCCTACAGGTTAGGCCACTGTTTCATAGAATGACCGAGCTGGCCACAGCAGAGCCAATTCAGTGCCTTATTAGATGTATAACTGTATGACAATGGACTCCTCTGACTTGACTTATAAAAATATTTGTTTGATCATGGCTAATTATTTTGGTGATATAGGTAAACATTTCAGTTTTCTTCAAGACCAGGGAATCCACTTGAGAGTCACATGGGTAAATGCCAGCCAAAACCATCAGAATCAATTACAAACTGCGGCGTGTAACTAACTGGTGTGTGTCCCTCACCTGTGGGTACCAAAAGCAGGATTTTAAAAAATCTACCATTTATTGACCTCTGCCTTCTGGGTTAAGTGACTTTGTCCTATATTTATGTTTTTGAAACAACATAAGTCACTATTGTATTCACTTATGTTAAAATCTTTTATATATTATATATCATCCTGGATCAGGAAAGACATTTGTCTACCAGGGCAATGTCCTCATTCAAGTCACCCTGCTTGTAGAACTACTAGAATGAAACAGCACTCTTTACTGAAAGCTCAGGCCATGGAAGATCGGACCTATGAGAGGGATGGGGCGGGTGCATACATAAGTGCAATTGGTGATAACGATCCTTTTCCTTGAGGTTGGCTATTATGGACCGAATACCCAGACCTCCCTTTTATTTCTTTTGCTTACTTCTGCTATTGCTGCAGCTTCAGCTACCATTTCAAGCTAGCTTTTATAGAGAACTCACTAAGAACCCAGTCCTGTATTCTGCCTTATACCTGGATTAACTCATTTTGTCCTCCCCAACTTTCCAGACAGAAACTGGGGCAAAGAGGTGATACAACTCGCCTGCGATCACAGAGCTGTCACGGAGGAGGGATTGAACCCAGGAGGGCTGATCGCAGAACCTGGCATGTAATAGTTATAAATCATGAGGAAGGGAGCTCATATTCTTGCCCATATGCTTAAAGGTGGAGGTGGGGGGCTTTTTGGCCCAAAGGGGAAGGGAGAGGAAAGTTTTCCCAGAAAGCTTGGCTTTGCCAGGGCTCTTGCTAAGCAACTCAGCCCGGACAGCTGTGAGCAAAGCTACCCTGGGTGCGGGGTCTCCTCAGTGGCTCTCCAAGGAGAGCCAAGGAGTGCCCAGTAGAACACTTCACATTCAGAGTTACCACTTGCCCCTTGGCCCCAGAAGAAAAGAAAATAGAAAAGGAAATAAGCTAGCAAGGATAATGAGGGCTTATTCTCAATAGGGAATGAAAGAGAAATGGAAGGAAGCACACCAGATGGCCTGGGGTTGTATTTGTTTACTTTTCAGCCTAAGAGACAATGCTGGTCACAGTGGCCCTTAGTGGCCTCTTTGAGTGAAAGGGGCCAGAAGTTTTCTCTACAATATCCCTCTCACACATATGTTTTCCATGTAAAACATCATTTACTCAATGAAATTCTTCTAGTGTCTATTTAAATAAATGAGAATCAAGTCGGTCTCTCTCTCTCTCTCTCTTTACTCTGCAGGCCTTCATCTCCAGACACCCCGCAGCTCTCCCTGCCCCAACCAACTCCAAAGCAGCCTCCAAACAATAAACACCAGTAACTGACATTGATCGAACACTTGGTAGGTGCTAGGTACTAGGTTACACATGCGCTGCCTAATTTAATCTTCACAACTTCCTTGTTCACATTTTACAGATGAACAAACTGGGTCTTGAAAGTCTCTCCCCAGGGTATAACCCTGTCATTTACGCTGTGAGCTCCACTGACACACAGGGTTTTGAAGCCGCGTTCCCTCGAGCGCAGGCGCCGAGTGGCCGGGAGGGGCCTGGTCACAGCTCTGACACTCAGCGGCTGCGGGAATTTGCACACATTATTTACCCGTTAATGGCTTAATGTTCTAATCTGTACAACAGAGCAATCCCCAAGGTCTCGTCTATTTCCACATCTGTGCATTGATCCTAAAGCCCAGACCTTCTCTTTTATTAGAATTGTGCAATAGGTGCTATGCACGTGGCACTAAGCTCAGCAAGGAAATGTCACCACCATGCTTCCCGTCACTCACTCGCTCTCCCCAGCGATAACCACCATTTCTGCTGCCTTCCAGAGAAACTCCGTGAACATACAAGTACCTTTTCCTGTTTTCTTTTATTAACACAAATAGTAGCAAAAAAAAAGTTAAATATTTTTCTTCCTTTTGCTGTTTTCACTTAAAATTTGACTCGAAGATTTCTTCTATGTCTGTATACCGAAAGCTGTCTTCCTCCTGTTATTTGGAAGTATCATAACCCACTCATTTTAGTGGAGATTTAGGTCACTTCTTCTGTATTTCCATTGATGCTGCAACAAACAACCCTGTACATCTTTTAGTTTCCACGTGTGCAAGTACCTTCCGCAGTTTCATCTCAAGAGTGGGGGCAGCAGGGGACAGGGCGTTGGGCACAGGGGGAGGAGGGCAGCACCAAACTACCCTTGGTGGTCTGCCCTCACAGCTTCTCCAAGACAACCCTAGCTCAGCCCTCACAGGATGAGAATCGGCAGAAGGCAGGGAAGGGCTGGGTATGCAGGGAGTCTATGATGGGAAAAGAGAAGGAAGTTGAAAGCATTGGGGATCACCGCCAAGACTTTGTGCCAGGAACATCCAATGTCATCAAAAAGGAGCTGGAAAACCAGGTGGGCCACAGAATCTAATCAGTAACTAGGAGTAAGGACCAAGGGGATAGAGGTGAGAGTTGGAAAGAAAACCAGAGGTGGACAAAACCAAGGTGGAAACGAGAGCAGCCAGGATCCCGGGAGCAGGGATGGGAGCGGAGCCGATAGAGGGCAGCTGGGGCGGTTTTCCCGAAGCATTACCAGTTCCTCCCGTGGCCTGCGGGCAAACCACAACTCTTAGCCCAAAGGACATGGGACCCGCTGACACTGAGCAGCCTCAGACACAAGGAGGGACCCAACCTTCTCCAAGAAACACTTGCTAAGGCCAATGATAGCCAACAGCGACTTCCTGTAGGAGCCATCCTGTGCTTTTCAGGTACAAGTGACATTGACAACCTTAGCAGCCCGGCACTGCTGTGGAAGAATCCAGACTCGGTGAGGGGACGAGCGCGATGCTGCGTGGTGGGAGGGCTCCGCGGGCATCTCCATGGCCTCGTGGTAAGAAGGGCTGGACTCCGAAGAGTGGGGCTGGAGCCTTGATGCGGCGCTCTCCAGCTGGGGGGGCCTGAGAAGAGCCCCTCACTTCCCCAGCCCTTCCTTTCCTAAAAGCCAAGAGAGGGGGCCCACTGCTCTGCTCCCCCAAGGTGTTTGTGTGAAGAACAAAGGAAATCCCAAATGTGAAAATGCTGTTTAACCCACAAAGTGCCACACGCGTGCCAGGCGTTGGTAACTTTGCTGTTTCCTCTGTCCTCCAACCCCTTTCTTTTCCTGTCTCTAGACCTATCTGTTTCTCTGCTGTTTCCCCGGAGACGAATCTTCCTGATGTAACTTCTTCATTTCATGGCTGTATCTTCTCATCTAAATGTGGACATATTTCAGGGTAAAAGGGTGGGGCCCCGGGGGGTAAAAAAGGAAGAAGCTGCAGAAGATAAAGATGAAGAGGGTCACACGTGAGAGTGGAGAGAGAGGCATCAACAAGCACGAGTACAGACGAGAAGAACGAGGGCAATGTTAAAAGCGGAAGGGCCTGGTATGGCTGGGGACCCTGTGTGTGACCTGCCTGTGGTGTCCCTGGGTGTGTGGGCTCAAGGCGGCAGGTTGGCCAAAGCTCTCTTTTCCTGTCAAGTGGCCCAGTCCTGACTGTATCAACGCCCGCTCCAAAGCCCGCTGGCCCAGGAATTCTGCCTCCCAGCCTCTTGGGTTCTCTGCTCAGATAATGGAGTAGACGAAGAGGTAAGGGGAATGGTCATGTGACTGCTGAAACGGAGCTGCAGCATTTCACTTACTTTTAATCCCCAAATCCTAAAATTACCCGATAATAAACTGTACGGAGTCCCTTACAAATGATTATCGACAATATCCATGCAAACACATCTGACACCCATA